GAATATCAATTGAACTCATTATGAATTATATGGGTCATCATTACCTCAAAGTAATAGAAACAGTAATCAAAATGTCAATTCGGCCGAATTATAGTTCATTGTGTCAAGAGTAAGTCGAAGTAATCAAAAGAGTGATGTTATGCGAATTCAGGTCACAGTAGATAAGTTGGTGGTATAATAAGTGGTAATAAAAGTCACCAAATTGTCACGTAGGCCGAATTTATATCATATGGGTCATTGTAACCCGAAGGAATCAAGAGAGTAATCACAATGTCAATTATGCTCATAAGAAATCAATATATTAAATATAGCATGAAAGTAACAAATATAGATAAAAATGTAAATTAGGCCAAATTAAAGTACATTGGGTCAAGAGTAACTCGAAGCTATTCAAAAGATTAATAGTAATGCGAATAACGCTAATTCTAGATGCATTGGTTGCATAATAACTCGAAGTAATTTGGAGAGACAATACGATGTAAAATTAGGCCGACGTAAAGTCTCTTGAGTAAATAGTGACTCGAAGTAATCCGACTACTAATCATAACATAAATTAAGCTCATAAGAAATCAATTAGACGAATATTAGCTCGAAGTAACCAAGTCATCAAGATGTAACTTTGAGCGAATTTAAGTCTATTGGTTCAATATTAACTCGAAGTAACCAAACAAGAGTAATCATAGTGTGACTTGCTCATAATAAGCCAATTATTATATTATTTGATCAAAGTAATATCAAGAGTAATTACGCTGTCGATTAGGTTGAATCAAACTTCATTAAAGTCTATTGGTTCAATATTAACTCGAAGTAACCAGAAGAGTAATCACAGTGTGACTTGCTCATAATAAGTCAATTATTATATTAGTCGATCAAAGTAATATCAAGAGTAATTACGCTGTCGATTAGGTTGAATCAAACTCCATTGGGTCAATAGTAAGTCAAAGTAATCAAAATAGTGGTCATAATGGTAACTGGGCTGAGAATAAATCACTTAATTGTCTGTATGAAAGTTAAAAGTGATAAAAAGGTTGAGGATTATGTCAATCAAAACAAAATAAAGTCAAATAGGCCACTATAGTTACTCTAATTAGTTAAGATGTCAATATTGTTGATATAAACACAGTTATGTAACTAATATAATGTGGAAAGATAGAAAAAACTATTGCGCTATTTTATGTTTTACTAATAAAGTAACCAGTAACTTAATTGAATTAATTTAAAGTAAATTGTGTGAATAGCCAGACCGAGTAATTAAAGGAGCAATCCTAATCGTAAATGATCTTTTTGTTGTCGGATTTGTCAATAATATATTAGAGCAATTAATGAGTAATAAGGATTTTGCCTTTACTTTAAAATTAATTGTGTCAATGATACCTATATAACCAAAATGTAATCAAAACGTCAAATGAGCTTGTACCAAGTTATATTTTTGTCCATAATTCCTGGAAGTGATCAAAAATGTTTTTTAGGAACATTTATTATAAAAATTGTGCTATTAGCATGTCGAAGTAATTATAACTGCAAGCCATACGTCCACTGAGCTTTAAATGAACTCAGACGTGTCAATATTAGCGCGAAGAAATCAAAAGGGTAATCAGAAACTGCAATTGCTCTCGTATCATCTGAATGGCATCAATAATAAGTCGAACGATTAAGAAAGAGTAAACAAAACGTCAATTCAGCTAAATTAAAGTCGAGTGCGCCCCACTACTACCTCCAGGTTACCAAAAAAGTAACCAACGTGTCAATTCAGCTTCGTCAATCATGCGACCAGTGACGCGAAGCACCCAATCGAAACAGTGAAATTGTCCCCAGCAAAATCTAATTCTATAAACAATTATTCGAAGTTATCAAAACAGCAAGCGAAACGCGACCACTGGAGACAAATAAGTACATTTATGTATTGTGGATTAAATTGACCGACGCCAGGACTAAATTGGGTAGCACTGAAATTTTAAATTGCATGGTGCTTGAAATAAATCGGATGGTACTCGGATTAAATTCACCGTCATTTGGATTAAAATGAGTGGAGAAACCTGTAGTCTGGTGTTGGTAAACGAGAGCGGTACGGGTTTTAAGGGTGAGTTTCCCAACCGAGTGTTGTGGTAACGTTGGCTGTCGGTGCCTATTGAGCAATATACGGTATACCCGATCGATTGTCTTTCTCGTTGCTTGCACGAAACAGAGGAATACGAACCTAGCAACTTTGCGGCAGTCTACACTCAAGAACCTTGTAACTGCAGTTCCAAGGGGAAAACAAACACATAGGGACACAAACGCAACCTGTTTACGAAGCTGTTTATCCAAAAAAAGAAAAAAAAAAAAAAAAGAAATAAAACGCAAGGATTAAAGTGGGAGACATGTGCGCAATCAAAACGGGCATTCGTTTTCCGCTTAAGTGGAGTAACTGCACTTACACAGCTACGTGTTCGCGCATTTCATCCTGTTGTTTTTCTAGCTGAACTTCTTCCTTGCATGCCAGTCAATTTAACAACGTGTATTTATGCGGCGTAGGCAATCCGTTTTTGCTGACTTGTTCCAGGTTTTATTTTTGTCTTACGAAACACACTATGTTTTCCCACAACAAAACAGGTGTTTCTGTTTAAAAACGTGCTTATCTTTGAGGGCTAGATGCCGCAATGAATCGACTAAAGCATTAAAAATGAGCAATGTGGAAAATATCGTACGCTTTATTCACACATTTACACACACACGCGCAACAAATTGTCCTAATAAAGCGTATCCTGCATTGGCGCTGAGAAAATGACGTGATTTGATTTCTTTAAATAGGAAGTGTAGGTGACTGAGTATTATCGAAGCTCAGTGATATCGATGCTCTTGGATTTGGCAGATGTGCATGATGACTTTATCCATATCACGAATGTAAATGGAGCCTGCAAAAAGGAAGAAAAACGAAGATATGTGGTAAAGGTTACACCAGTGCGTGTCGTGCGCAAATCTTATGACTAAGGCAGACGGAAACAAACCGTACGTGCAACCTAAAAATAAACCTGAAAAAAAAAAAGAAAAAGCCACACAGCTTTTTCGTGCGGCTAGGGTACTAAACAGTATTTAGATGCCCCCTTGTACAATAATATTATAGTAGGTCAACATCCCGTGGGAGCCCGAAGACAATCAGTTACTGAGATGTACAAAATTCGCTATGTACAAAAAAAAAAAAAAAAAAAAAAACCATCCTTAAAAAAATAAAAAAAATTGTCTTATATGTCAATACAAACTACCTAGGGACAGTGACGGTGTGGCGGTTGATGCCCCACAGATTGCAGTGAGCACCAGAGCTGACCGGCATCCGTGAGTCGCTTGTACGAATACTCCAGCGCAATCGGGACAGGGGCGCTCAGGAGCAGACTCGAACGCTCCTCGGATTATGATCCAACCAGTTCCCGGCTCCTCAATTTATTAAGAGGTTATTAGTAACGTGCAAGATAATCTGTATTCCCGCGCTACGTAGCGACACGGAATTGGACTCCTACTACCTCCTGAGTCCCGCTGCCAATGTGTTGGAAAAGTGTTTATCGGAATCCGGAATTTTTCTTCTTTTTGTTTTGTCTGTTATGACAAATTTCTAATTACAAACATAAAAATGAAAAAAAAAAACGCCGACCTTCGCTTGATTCGCGCGGTTACATTAAAAATCGTTTAAGGCACACCAGCTCTTTAGAAGCGTCAATCAGTCAGGGGGTTCGGGCTGTGCCGCAAGACCTCGTCGAATGTACGCCACGCTCTCAATATCGTTTTCCTGCACTGAACGTATATCGACGTCCTCAGGGCGCACAGCCATTCCTTCATTTTTCATAGGTAAAAACCGAATACCATAGGGAATTAAAGGAAGGTCCTTTTTAAGTGCACGCTGGAGAATATAGCAATAGAAAACTGCGTCCCAGCATTCGATGAAGACATGTCCTATGATTTTTGGTATTTCACAGAGCTGGCAGTTGGTTGTCCATGGAACTAATATTCCTTTACTCTCAAGCCACGACTTTACAGGAAGTGTGCCGCTTGTGGACCAAAAATAAAAATATAAAAAGGATTTGACCACCAGTTCGATCGGCTTCCTTTTAACTCTTTTTAGTCGGAATCAAAACTACCCCACGTTCCTTGTGAGCGTGGTCCTCCCTCGCCTGCTACACACATTTCAGCCACAAGGTTCACGCTAGCATAATCTTAGGACGACGAAGAACGAATCACTTTGAGATCACTGTATTTTTTGTGTATTTTTTCCAGTTTCATTTTTGACGCGATAGCGTTATGGAGCTCGTGTCGCGTCGGCCTCGGTGGCGTGGCAGAGAAGCCGGCGTCTGTGCCGAGCTGCGAAAATCCCGAGTGGCTGATAAGCTCATGACTTCACAGCCATATGACCTCGCCCGGGACTTTCAAACAACCCATAAAGCTTACGTGAAACGTGACGTCACGCATGGAATGAAAGTGATTAAAACATGACATGGGGGGATGCGAATTAAGGGTCGCCGCATGTCTCAAATTTCTTCACTTGTTCAAGTAATTTATTTGACTTAAAGAAAAATTTGAAAAATTTTAGGCGGGATTTGATCCCACGATTTACCGTTTGCCCCGCAGGTTGCAGCGAGCCACGCAAGGCACGCAAGGGTTGCACGGCCTACGAAGCGAGGAGAGTTTATATGTTTTTGTTTTTTCGCTATCGTGTTCCACTCTTGAAGGCGAATCTTTAGCGTCCTCCAAGTAGATTGGAGGACGCTCGGGCTTCAAATAATTGTGAGAATATTATAAGGAACTGTTTCTTATGAAGTGTGCGTAGACTTGATCTAGAAAATATTGCGAAACCTTCACTCTAGTTATACTCAGTTCTAAAACTACCTGACAGACGGCGCCAGTAACGCTAATGAGATCTCTCGTCGCATGTGCGCTTCCAGGGGAAAGCAACGCGCTTGCAATGAACACGCTCAAACGCAGATGTGTCACCCAGCCTATCACTACAGATTTGTACATTAAAGATCTTATGTTCATGTCTTATTAGTCGCAGTAAGGAAAGTATGGTATCTTACCCAGACAGTCAACAGTGTGAACATGGCAGTGCATCCGGTCCGATAGCCATACGTTCCAACCACATAACCGGCAACGGGAGGCGTGATAATAGCACTGTATTCAAAGTGAAGGTCGGCATAAAATTATAATCACAAGTTTCATTGCCGCATACAATGTTCACATAATTAAATAAACATCTAGCCTAAAACATTTGGCGAATTTTGTTTTAACATATGAGTGTCAGCGTGAGACAGTAAATTTTCTATTGTCATGACCCGACAATAAAAAATTCTAACATGAAGGATTCATAATTTAACAACAGGAGTTTCTTTCACAACCTTACGGCTTTTCAAAAGCTAATATGCGCCTAGCACGCACTCTGTCTTATACCCAGACCTTTAGTTCACTGCTCTGGATATTACGGGATGATCTTCTCTTAAAGTATCGAAGGGCTGAAGAAATCAAATTTGTGAATTGCGTTTTTTCCTCTAAATAAAGTCTGTATGACACTTTTAATTATGAAAATAAATTAAAGATACGCCATGTTGCCGTAAATCTTGGATTGACAACCAGGGGGTTTGTTTCTTGGATTTAATTTGGTAAACCTACACCCTCAACGATTGATTAAAATCAATGCTTCAAGAAAATAGCATTTTGAAATGTTTCACAGCACTTTATTCACTGGTTTACACTCCTCTTTTTTACCAAAATAGCACTCGCGGCCATACTGTAGAAAGAGCCGGTAGGTACACTGTAGCGCTAGTTTTGCTAGCTGACCACGAAAATACAATAACCGAAAAACGTATTTTGATAACTCAAATGAACTGATTTTAATATACACGTTTTGCTTGTTTGAACAAAGCATCTGACGAACCTAGCAAAACTGGAAGTAAACAACCTTCAATTCTACCTTTCTTTAAGGAATCGTTACAAAAGGGGCTGAGTAAAATTCACGTAAATTGTCTTCCGCTTACCCAATAACGAGGAACGTGAATATAGAACTGGAAATAAAACTGCTGGTCCGCATGTTGTCAGGGTAACCACGCTCTCTGAAACAGAAAAAAAAGTTTTGTTAGTTTTTGAAAACATTGCGTTTGCTAGTAGTATGGTAGAGGGGAGTGCATACTGGTAGAGTTTCAAATTTAAAACTAAGGTAAGAGCGAACCATAGAAAGTCCTCGGTATGCAATTCATAGTTATATAGCAGTAAAATGACGCCATTTGTTTTCTACCTGTTTCTCGGTTCACCTCTACGCAAAGTTACAGGACCAGGATTCTCTCCTATTTAAAATAGAAATACTTTCTACTAATAGTGCACATTATAACTCGAAAAGACTATTTGAGAGCTAGCATGGCTGTATTTTTGCTCTTACAAGTGTGTTATTAGTTCCTGATATTTGAGTCGATCTAAATGCAGCGTCGCGCATGCAAAGGAAGAAAAGTAGACATTAGTGAGTTTCGGTATTGTGTATCCGACCGAGAGCGAACACTGTGCTCTTGCCTTAGCGTTGCCTGTTCCACACTGCGCATGCGCGGAGCCCAATCTACGGTCTTGGATAGACGCATGGTGATAACGCGCATGCGCAGCGTGAAACTCGCGACGCTAATGCAGACGTACAGCGCTTGCTTTTGCTCCTATACGTAGTAATAAAACTTTTGATTGTTCAGCAACAATAGCGGCAAGCGACAGGTGTCGTATTCAATGATGTCCATGAAAAAAAGAAACAATAAGAGGGGTTTAATAGTCACATAAGTTAATTTGTGTCATGTATATTTTCAGACATGCAACGTATATGCAAGAGCCGCGATGGCCTTTGAAGTAACCGTTAGATTAATTAACACAAAAGTAATCGAGCAACAGGCTTGATGTTACTAAGGTACTATTCGAAACTCGGTGCAAAAATTACACACTAGTCATCACATTATAGCCCTTCCCTAAAGAATTAGCAGAGTTATCCAGAGTTCACCCATGGGCTTTTATTGCCGGAATGCGCATTCAATTACGAAAACATAGACGTACGATACATATATATTGTACTTACAGCACTAGTTTGATAACGTGACTGTAGCCACCTATGAACTGTGCTGACATTCCCAGTCCCGTGAGTACTTGAGACATATACACCATCCACAGCTTCCTGAGAAGAAAAAAACAAAAACAAACAGGAATAACACTTTATGGCTGGTCAAGAGTATACCCGCGATTTATTAACGATGTTCCTTCGCTAGGTGTTCGGCATTTCCTGAAGCCCAAAAGTAAAGCCTGTATAAAAGCGTTGCCGCGAAGCTTTACATTGATCGGTTAAAGGGTGGAACAAGAGGAGTGAGATGTTCCACGATGATTGGTTAACGGGGCAGCCCTGTGACCGAGGATGGTGTAAGAAGGAGAGTTAGACGAGGTGGGGGAGGAGGATGGGTTACAAGGTTCTGGAAGATCGCAAGGTTTTTCATTTCAAGTGTTCAGATGCCACGAGTTCACTTATTAAATGAAGAGCGCCGTGAACGTAGGCGTCTGGTTAAACAGGCTAAACCTGATGTTAAAACTCCTGAGACCGAAGACTGCGACTCAGAATTGCATTCGTAGAACTCAGAGTATTCCTAAGCGTTTCTAATGCTAGAACATCTCACGTATGCAACACAATTATCTAGCACTTTGCCATACATTTGCTTTTATCTTCATAATAGAAAAAGACCGAGTTAAAAGCAATCTATCACTTTTTTACATTGCCTTTCTCGCGTTCAATACATCTGTGCCAACGCTTCAGCGACGGGTGGGTGCTGCGGGGAAAAAAAATTGCGCGACGAGCACACAACATGATGGGTTTAGACAAGTGACAACAAGGTCGTGACGTGTTTTCCCGCCAAATTTAGCTTGGAAACTGAATTAGTGCATAGGTCACCTGGCGTAAATATTTCCGTTAAATTTAGGTGGAACCTTTATTTGTAGGTCCCATGACATCAATTTTTTTGTCATGTTTAGCGAGGAATCTGAATCGGTGCATAGGCCACGTGATGTAATATTTTTCGCTATATTGAGTGGGAAGCCTGCATTTTTCATTAAGGCCCTTGACGTCAGGTCAGGTTACATCAAGTATCCCGCCAAATTGGGCGGGAAACTGGATTGGTGCATAGGTCACCTGACGTCAATTTTCCCGCTTACTTTAGCAGAGAAACCGAATTGGTACATATGTCACGTGGTGTAAACTTTTTCGCTAAGCTTAGCGTGCATCCTGAATTTGTCTGTGGGGCCCGCGAGGCTACTCATGTGACCAATTTTTTCTCCAAATTTAGCTGGGAAATTTAATTGGTGCATAGGTCACGTGACGTCAATCTTTCCGCTAAATTTAACGGAGAAACTGAATTGGTGCGTAGGTCATGTAAAATCAATTTTCCTGATAAAGTTAGTGAGGAACATGAATTTGTCTATGTCCCATGACGCCAATCCCCGTGTTATAAATTTCCCTCCCAAATTTAGCAGGGAAACTAAATTGCTGCAAAGGCCACGTGACCTTAATCTTTCCGCTGAATTTAGCAACGAACCTGAATTTATATGTAGGTCCCCTGACGTCACGTCACGTAACATAGATTTTCCCAGCAAATTTAGCGGAGAAACTAAATTCGTGCAGAAGTCACGTGACGTCAATCTTTCCACTAAATTTAGCGGGAAAACTCAATTCGTTTACGCTCACGACGTCATGAAATCGGGGGGAAGGTTCCCAAACAGCGTTCGCTGTAAAATATCTCGACTCTGAAGCGAGGAATGCGCAGCCTGCTTTCAGTAGTGTCTCTATACGAAACTTTTTAAAGCCGAGAGCTGCTTTGATGGGCGCGGACAAATAAAAATCGACGCATGGTGCGAGAGACAGTGAGCACGGTGGATGCGGAATACACTCAAAACGTACATCCTTGATTTTGGCCCGCTGTCGTAAGTGCCCTGTGACTTCGCGCATTGCCATGCTGCAGCAACACACCAAAGATCAACAAACCACGGGGCTTAAGCGCGAAACACATGTACGACGAAAACGTCCGATCCGACGTGCGGACTGCCGGAATGACCTTCGGGGGCGAAGGTTTTCGTAGCACCGAAGAGCGTATAAAACCCTCGCCTCCGACCGTCGTATTGCCTGATCGGATGTCAGATCGGACGGTTTCGTCGTACGTGTGTTTCCCGCTTTAGATCTCATCACAGGCTTCACGTCGTTCTCAAGCAGATTACAGTACGACGTAACGCTGACACCGAGCCGCCTAAGCATCTAATATTTGGCTATCGTTTCTTTATAGTCTAAGAGGGCCGGGACCATACGTTTGCCTTTCGTCAGAACTGCCCGGAACATCTTTAGTCTTGGTGACGTAGTGTGCTTTAACTATTTGCTTGCACGCTTGGTCACCGATAGGGCATTATGGATCCAAAATTCGTCCCCGGTGACATGTGTTGGAGAAAATTTACTTCCTCAAGTTGATTCCCTCGTAGCAGCGACCCGCACACGTTTATACGGCGCTCCTTATTGCCTTGCGTAAATTGTTTTGACAACCACCTGGCGGACACATTAGGGTACTGCAGTATATTGTGAATTATTTGGTGCACCGAGCCATGACTAATGTTGAAATTTCAACCATTTCATTGATAAGCACACAGCGGTTTTTGAGTAATTAAAAGCCGTTCAACTTCTGGTATTGAGTGCGCTATCAACAGAGTGTCAAGAGTTCCGGAGCAATGTGCGTCAGTCACAAATAACTCTCCACTTTGAAATTTTTTGTACCACTCGTACACCTGTAGAAGTGATATACGGGCGTCCCCATGCTGCCTCAACATCTTACGATGACTATCCGCGGGCTTTTTGCCCCCTGTGGTTAATAGACGGATTACTCTGTGCTGCCCCTCCCGAGCTCGCGCACGCTTTCAAAGGGTGCGGCCATTTTGAGTGCTCTGGTAACGAGACACTTTCCATCAGGCTGTTGGACCGGCGTGCACAGCTCTGTCTAGCGCAGTGCCAAGCAATATCTGAAGCACATCAGCCTGCCGCGGCATTTCGCAAGTTTTATAACTAAATGCTGGCTACCTTTTTTACCCTGCCCTGTAATATGAGGCACTTTGTTGTCTAAGAAGCGTTTCCGATGGGACGTGAAGCATACTTCACTAAAAAGAATAGGGAGTGTTCCCGATATGCGAAAACTTGATTCGAAAAAAGGCACCGTGGAATACTTTGTGTTCTCGCAATCCTGGCTGTTGGTTGTTAATCCGTCAATGAGGAAGACCAAATGACGCTGGTGTCGTTCTCATCGTGGCGTGGGTGAACTGAAACCCATCATCCGTGGCCGCTGGGTTTCAATTTATCTTACGATGTACCGCAAAAGACTCAACGAATCATTTCAACAAATCCGGTGCTCTTAACGAAATTTATGTCCACGCGCTTCGTGCCTTTCTGCGTCACTTTCGATAGTCACGAGAGGCAGATACGGCATTGGATTCGATGTCTCGTAGCGCATTTTGCGGTCTATCCTAAGGTAAGACGAGTACAGCAAAAGATTGTTAATTTCACCTCTGCGGCTGTGCCACTACCGGTATTGAGGAGCACGGGGGCATTACGCAGTTACGACGTAACTAGCCGCTGAAAAATCAGCGTGAACTTGATGGCTTGTCGTGGTTGTGAGGTGGTCACGTAAATGGGTTTCTAAAGTATCGTGCTGCAATTTACTGCAGATGTGCCTGCAGGTGGCGCCTTCTTGATTCTAAATGTTAAGAATCCAGGTAGCACAACCTTTTGGGCCAGAAATTGTTTTCTTTAAGAGTTTAGTGTCTTGAAAATTGCAAAGATGCCAACGTAGAATCAAAGTTGACCTTCTTTGGTCTGAGTCTGAGTACCTTGGTCCTAAACCGCCGAACAAGTGTCAAAGTTAGGCTTCACTGCCAGGTAGTTTGGCTTTCACCGGGGCCTTCGTGCCTAAATCGTCAAAGCGATCTCAAAGTTAGGCTTCCATACAGCCTGTTCGTTTTTTTGTGGAAAATGTGGGCCAAAATTGCCAAGCATGTGCCAGAATTAGGACTCACTGCTCGTTCTCTTCTTGGTACCTGGCATTTTTGGCTTAAGTCCAGCGCCTTAGAAATAACGTGTTGAATCAAAGAAAAGCCATAGAAACGCCATAGAAATGTACTTTGGCGCTAACTAAGTCCTTGAGGCAAAGCCGCATTAGGACCATATGAAGCCCCTAGGATTGCCAAACTTGGGCCCAGTTAGGCCTTTATCTGGTGTGCTACCTGGGAATGAAAATTCTGAAGTAAAAGTTAAAAAAAAATAATATAGATATTTTCTTCTTACCACGTCCGTCTGCAACCAACACACATCTGAGTAACATCCGACAGACGGCGGCTGCGTTCTTCTCGCAAACTTTTAATTGGAAAGGTTCCGCGTCACCAAGAGCAGACAATTTTTGTCTCAAGAACGGCGCGTGCCTTTTCGGTGGTAGTTTCCATAGCAGGTTTATGGCCATTCACACAAAAATAATATTTAGACTGAACAGAAATAAGAAAAAAAAAAGGGTTATCGAGGTAATTGAACTAATCGGAGATACATTTTGTAAGCGGCTCTCGCCTTTTGTCCACTGTTACGCCAGTGAGACCTGTGTCGTTTGCAGACGGACGCCACAGGTAAAAGAAAACGGTCCTATTTTATTCTTTAACTTTTTACTCAAGTCATATTTTGTTTAAATATTTGGCACAAAATGAGCTGTCTTCTGCCCTTCTTGTTAGAACATTTTAGCACGATACACTAAAAAACCCATTTATCTAATCCCTTCAAAGGGCCAAGAAACCAGGGGTGTTTCACGCCACCAAGCGCGATAAATAGAGATTTGATAAACACACAAGTTATTCGAAGACACCAGCGTTTCCAGAAGCTGTACTGTCCAAGAGCACCTCTTGAGCGCTTCCACTTAAGTATGACGCCGCAAGTTGAGAAAATGTTTCTTAATTTCTTGACGTTTCTCTTGAAACGTTTACACACAAAAAGCGCCACCTACCGTCTGTGTTCTATGAACACCGCGGGTCCCAGGAACACATAGGCCAGTGCTGCGAAAACAATTCCAAGGAAAGCGTAGAATGCGCTTTTCTGAAAGAAAACCAACAGATCGTTTAAAACGCGTTTTCTTTGTCCTAACAATACCTTGATAACATTCTGAAGAATAGTGAAGTTCACTGACAAATAACTTTTTCTTGTAACAGACTACGATGTAATGCACAATGATTTCAATATCTATTCAACCTGAACTTTGAAAAAAGAAGCTATTATCTTACCAAGAACATGCAGCATAAGATACACCTAAACGTGGCTGTTCCTCGATCAATTAACCAGGCATTTTTTTGTTGTTGTAATTTCTTCGAAGATCATTAAAAGAAAAACTGCAATAAGCTCTATGATTTTTCCGATTTACACAAGTAAAGACTTAAAACGAAACTGTTGTTAAGCCCTTGAAGCTTGTGGGAAGAACTTTACGCGATCGGTTACAAATGCCTGTTTACCGGCGCGAATGTGTGGCGCTTCGAGCACACTTCGATGCCGAAAACAAGATGAAGCTCGGCTTGTTTCTCGTACTATCCCGCCAAGAGTTCAATTTCTATCGATTTTTTTTGTGAAATTTTAGTACAAACATCTAAACGCCCACATTACCAGTTTTTGTTCGTGGGCTCTGTTAGTCCAATGAAAAGCCTTAAAATGAAGAGCCCTCAAATTAACACACTAGATCCATTCCACCGTTGGCTTCTGTGGTGGCTTTGGTTAGTTATGTTCCCAGTTTGTTCCGCATCACGCAGTACGCTTTTTCTTTAAAGGTTGACTCAAGACGCCGAGTCAACTTTCCACTCACTGCTTAAACAAGACCACTAACTGAATCCCACCGAACTCATCTTACGAATGCGGCGGCGCAGAATATAATTTCACTCGGACATGCAATTTGTGCAGAGACAATAACTTGATATTTCAGTATATTATTTTTCACATTAAGCCCGACCGTAAATGGTGCTACGACCCGACAGAGCCAATCAAGCGGAGCCAAAGTGCATCGTTTCGAAGTTATTACAGAGTTTAAAAAAACAAAAAAAAAATATTTTTGCGCATTTGATACGGTACGATGCGACCTCCGGTACAAACTGCGCATATGCGAGTCTTCTGCGATAGCGCATGCGCAGTTCGTACCGGAGGGCCCACCGTACCATATCGGGTATGCGAAAACGGTTCCCTAAAACTGACGAAAATAATTCCTGGATAAGGGGGCAAGGGGGACAAGGGGCAAACAGAAATCTCCGGTCGCGCACCAGTCATCTGGTGCGCGACCTAGCTGTGGTTGGAGACTTGAGTTTATCCTTTGTCTCCTTTGTTCCCCTTTGACAGGGATTATTTTCGTCATTTTTGTCAAACTAACTTGCACCTTTGCATTTAATTGCCCTATCAATCATGCCTAAAACTCCCCACTGTCGCGGTCCGTTTGCTAGCACTGCTTATATCAATCACACGAAGCGAATGCGCCTCGATTCCGCGCTTCTTCTTTTTCTGCGCGTGAACGGTTTCGTTGGTGCAAGTAAACGCACAAATACTACAAGCGCCGTGACGATGCACTTTTGGCGCTGCGTGATTGGCAGCCTCGGTCGCACTGTTTGCTGTGGTCGGACTTGAAGCGAAACGGTGCAGAGCCTACCGTCCATACTCGGTGCCAGTTCTTGACACGAACTCTTTTTGTACACTACTCCCCGTAGAAAGAAGTCATTGATCTTCGTATGGTCTGCTGCGAGCCAGACACCTAAACGATTTGTTGGAGTGCTTATAAACGGCGAGACTCGGAGGAAACGACACCTACCTTGAAATGACAAACTATGCCGGCAATGATGCATCCGATGCAGTAACTCGCAAACTGCACCATGTAAATCGTCCCTATGCGTGAGCTTCTCAAGTGGAACTGAAAAGCGAGGAACCAGGGGAAAAAAACTGTCAGGAACTACCGAGAGGGAAAACTGTTTCCAGAAGCTTTCGAGTGTCTACTTAACCCTGATGTCATCGTCAGGGAGTGGCGTTATGTAAAAATGGTCACAAATGCTGATTGGCAAAAGCGGCGTATGCCATTTTTGTCACTGAGATTGCTTTGCCATTGGAACACAGTACCAATGATCGCCCTTCTCGTTAGTTATAGCCACTGAGAGTTTAAGAAATGTAGGATGTGGCTCATTACATCCACGCTTCTTGCTTCGTGAAGGGTTCTTCGACATTCTTATCGGCTAATTTCACAATCTTATTGACTGTGGAGCGATGTAACATGACCCTCATGCCTCGACACATTCTACACTTCTTAAGAACTGACTGCAACTTATTTTGGAGGCTATGACAGAAGGGGTAAGATTAGAAGAACGTCGAAATACCTATATAAAAGAAACAAATTTGCTCGCTGTTATCACATAGAAGCATAATTATGAGTGCAAATACAACCGTAACGATTCACGTGGAACACTTGGTATTTATAGCTCTGAAAACCGAAGTAACCTACTAATTAACGCATCATACGATCAGTTCTCAATTGCTTTATGGAGGCTGTTTTGTTCCTCGAAAGGAATGGAACAGCCTTCTTCCACCCGCCCTGACACTGGGTGACTTCTACCCGTTTCCTCTCGTGAAGAAGTTGAAACCCATTGCGTGGTAAGCGTTTCAGGAAGACGATACAATTATTTCCAGGCCAGGACGCTTTTTCAGGAACCAAGAAGACTTGTACGACCAGGGTATAACCGCTAGGGGGGGAATAAATTCGCTGCCCTCTGTTTTGCAAAAGTGTAGAGGAGCTAACCACATAACATCCGCTCGTAATAGCAGCTCCATTCCTTCGTCATAATAATCCGCACTTAGAAATGCCCCTCGAACGTACATGTAAAGACACAGTAAAGCATTATTATTAACATGGTACGAGCATATAAGGGGTGATCATTCTCTAGGAAAGGTAATTAGAACACATTTCGTTATATCTAGGGTACTTGTCGAACCGGCCGCCCAGAACACCTCTCTAGAGAACGGTTAAGGACGAGGGCTAATCGCTCGGATTTCAGAATTCATAGACAAACCAGAGTCATTTGCATAAACCCTAATTTTTAAAGCAACATAATTTTGACCGTTAATAATAAACAGAGGAACTTGCAGTGCTCACAGACGGAATATTTTGTTGCACCCAATAAAATATCACCAGAGTCAAAAGAAGCCACAACTACAGAAACAAATTTATAACATTCTTTGAGCCAAACCTACATACTTTGGTTATTCGATATGCCTGCCTGTTTAAACAGCAGTTTAGAATAAGAAACGAAAACGAACGCTTTTAAGTAACTTAGGAATAAAATATCGATATGTCCCTGTCAGTTTAGCTGTATCAAAGAGGTCTGGTACAGACCTCTTTAAGATTCGGTTCCAGCGTTGGTTCGTTGAATCCAAGAATGATCCATCCCATCATAATTGTAATCATGTCACCCAGGAACACCGGGTCCAAGAAAAGCTTCTTGTAATTGACGCTGTTGTCTTCTGGGGGCGCTTCGGTTATTGACGTAGCTGTGCAGGAAGTATGAAAGAAATCAGGCACTCCACAATACACTCTCAAAATGCCCGTGCAATAATTGTTCCTACTACCATCGAGGGAACCAATTATTCTGATCCGTGCAGTGAAATTGGCCAGTGGCAGGCTCAAATAACCCTGTCGACCTAGAGCTTCCATTTTTCAACCGTCACAATGAGAATGACGCAGTATCACAGCACATAGTTACTTTTTAGATCATAGCCCCTCTTTTTTAGCCTCGAAGTTCGCTCTGTTTCGCTCTCTAACCACAATGCGGATAAAAAAAAAAAAGAAATGACGCACGGGCTTTTTCAAGATGTATTTGTCTTATTTCTGCTAGTTGTACATTCGAAGACTGTCCTTCTTACCTTTACCTTTGTTGACCCCCGACCCAAGCGAGGCGATTACTGGAAAGGATAGCATCGATATTGCACCGATTACGAAGAATGGCAGCGGGAAGGCCCACAACTGCAAGATATCGAAAACGTACCAGAAATTAAGATACACGTTTCCCGTTTCGTTAAAGTCGCCGAACAACGCATTCAGCGCCCGGTCGCCTATACTTACCTCAATCAGGGCTCCACCGATGGCCGACCCCAGCATATTGCCGGCTCCCCAAAGAAATTCAAGGAAGCCCTGAAACATAAAGCACCTCCGTGAAGCGTTGGTTTTTTCGGAATCGTTGTTTTCATTTGATACTGCTTACATCAAAAGAGGACGCCAAAAGCATTTGCATTCAGTGCCGTCGAAAGGTGATTATTAGGTGTGTGAATACTAGTAGCTCAAATCGAGTGGTGCAGCGTCATCTCTAGCTTCAACACCACTAATGAAGCCAACTGTCGTGTATTCCAATTGCATTGTGAAGGTTATGAATGACGTATTTTGTGCTATTCGAATTGAACCACTATTCGCCCACTCCTAGTGATTGGTTTTCAAGAAAACTACGTGATACGTTGAATAAGAAAGCAAGGTGTCATTAAAATAAACATGAACATCGGCATAAGGAAATGGAGGGGCCTGTTTTAAGAGTTTCGCTTGTTGGCCAAAAAGTTTATTCAGCGTGATGGGGAGAACTGGAGAAATTCAGTTAAATGATATTTTAAACGCCATCCAAATGCTCTGTGGAACTAACCAAGGTATCTACGAATATTTAATAGATTGAGAGCAATTGCATTGCAAGATCGCCCTGGATATATATTTGAGCTGACCGATGCCTGTGATCTTTTTGCCACTTTTTATATTCCGTCGGTAATTCAATTACTCCGTGCACTATTAAAACCGATGCTGATATCGAATCTACCCGCAGCTTAGCAGTGCCGAAGCTAACACTTGAAGATGTGTTTTTGTAATTAATGAGCTTGCTCCGAAAATTCATCCGATGAAGACATAATCCCTGCTTTTATTGTAAAGAGACATAGCGATATTTTTGCCCCAGCGTGGCTCCATATTTTTAACATATATTTAGATGGACATATATTTCCCATAGGAAGGAAAAATAGAGTGGTTGTCCTGGTCACACTGAGTGCGTTAGTAAGAAGAGACCAATTTCTCTTCTTATCTCTTTTTCTAAGGTATGTGAAAAAAGCAATGTTTAAGCTTATTTACTTTCATTTTAAACCGTATAGCTGTTACTGTCATTCCAAACCATATCTCTGTCTAAACCAGCGCGGTTTCTGTCAAGCGCGTTCAGTCGAGACTAACATTGTGTTATTCTTGGAACACATTTTACCTAAAGTGTGTTCCAAGGATACCGTGGACAAGCTGACACTATTTATTTCTATCGCACTAAAAGCTTTTGATCTTGTAGATCATAACTCGTTTTGCAGCTGGTTGTCAAGTTACTTTGGTGGAAGACCAAGAGAGTGCTTTATGAAGGGTGTTTTTCTACTTCGTGTGTTTTAAATACTGGAGGGTCCTCAGGGGTTCCATCCTGTGTCGCTGCTATTACACGTTTTTGTTAGTGATCTGACAGATAGTGTGCAGCATTCAGAGGTGCTGCAGTTTGCAGATGATGTAAAACTTTACAGCTAAGTTCATGCAGCTATTGACTGCCAGATGATGCAAGGTGATGTTCAGACAGTTTTAAATGAGTGCTTGAAAAATAATTTGGTACTTAACCCCAACAAGAACCAGGTTGTTCCTTATACTTCTCCGAGAAGCTGCGTTGACTACTTTTATAACATGTTAGTTTCATTAAACGCGAGGTCGGATACTATCCGTGACCTCGGAGGAATGTTTCATTCCCGCTTCTCGTTTACTGACCATGTTTCGAAGATGGTGAATGACTCTTATTAGGTACTAGGCGTTTTTTTCCGAAAGACGCCAAAAATTTCCGTACTCACGCTAGCATGATTATTCTCTTGCGCGCCCTTGTTTTGTCTTAAATTGAGTTTAGTTCAGTCGTATGAAACCCATTGGAGTGAAAAAAACGTTTAGTTTTAGAAAAAGTGCAGCGCCGTCTGGTACATATTGTTTAGGACAAAGGGGTTGGGAGGCGTATCTATTTTAATCATAAGTGCCTATACGAAAATATCACACATGGCCCTGATACACTTTATATATAGCCATATATGATAGTATAAAGAGTCAAATATGGCTATATACCGCTATATATTGGAGAAAATACGGCCATAAATCGCCATATCCGCGTGCAAATACGGTTATATATCGCTGCACAAAAGTTCAAATACTGCCATATATAGCGCGTTCACGACATATATGGGTAAAAATATATCCCCTGACAGTGATACATGGGCCCGTTCTGGTCGTGCAAGCAAAAAGTCATATGTTCTCGCCAAGCTCGCAACTTCTCTCAGGATCATAAAACGAGAATCTCAAAAAAGCACTTCAGTGCCCCGCCCATTTAAATGCAAATTTGTATGTCCCGCGGAAGCGTATAATATTTAATTTATTTTTTACCCTCAGAAAGTTAGTGTCCAGTCCCCAATGCCACGCCTACAGCTCCTTTATAATAACGATACGAGTGATTTAGGCTTGTTATCACCCTCATAGCTCTTAAACGAGCCTTGTTGGCTGCTTGAGAGAGCCGTGGTTTGTTGTTTTATGTAGTTATGTTTATTTACTTTAACTTAAAAAATTGCATTCTGCTTGTTTGTTTGTTTCTGTTCATTTTATTGATTGTAATATGTGCACACTCCTAAGTCTTTGAGCTGTTTGTGGGCACATTAAGCAGAGTAAATAAAAAAAAAAATGTCAGATTAAGGTTCTTAAAGTCATGGTTCTTAGAAAAGCTACTAATTTGTTTAGAAACTTCAACGGCTCGCCGTGCGAACTGGTTCGAACGCGAACGCCAAACGCCGGATGCCGGCGTTCGGCATCCGGTAATTGACAAAGGCAGCTAGCTTTACGTCTACCCACTAATGATCATTCCAAGCATACCTCGGCGTTCCAAAGTTCACGCGCGCTTTCATCTCCTCTTCTCCCTCTATTTCTACCCGTATACAACTTTCCAAAAAAACGCTCCTAGGCCGCCGCCATGTTGCTGACGCTGATGCGGCTGGTGCGACTCTCGCGCCCTCTATCAGCTAGACATTTTCTGCCCCTCTCTGGGACTGTGAAGACCCGCTCAGCGCGGTTCTCTACCTACGTTTTTGTGGTTTTGCATTCGACGTTCTCTCGCCCCTCTTGAAAGTTTCCACTTAATTTTTTTTATCTGTGCTGCGTACCCTTTTTGTGTTGTCTTCCACTGTGAGAAATAAGGCTGGTAAGTGCCTGCCATTCAAGATTTTCTGCTCAACATTCACGGGAAACAAAGGAGGTGAAGGACGTCGAACGACTCTCGACGTGGTTTTGCGAACATTGTTCTCCCCTCTCCCAAAGATAATCCGCGCAGAATCCTCAGCCATCTAAAAAAATAGTTGTCCGGGTTGGGGTGGGAAACGGGTCAGTCGCGTTTGTTTTTTTGCCTTGGTGAAAAAAGGAAGCCCTCGCCAAAACGTGCCCCAAAACGAAGTCATCTCGGATTCCGTCCGATCGTCACGATGTGACTGCCGTCGACTGTGACTGTGTTATTTGAGATCTTTCTCAAATAAATTCATTTCGGATAACGCTGCATCGTGTGGTACGTACGATATATTGTTCGAATGTTAACACTTCCTCAATTGTATGTCCGTGTCCTGCCCATCGGTAAACGGTATTTGTGAGCGTGAAAAATGCATGCCTTTCGGCCCTCTTCTGTTGCAATTTATTTTTGACAGCAAAGCGCTTTGTCGTTTCACATGCGGCGAATCCCACGGCGCCTTCAAAACTTATCCATTCCAGTCACATTCTTTCTGTCGCGCGAGTACCCAACAAAAATAGTGTACAGTTTTTTTTTCTTTTTTTTTAGGTCTGGCACAATGCTTTCTCAATGTCCTCGGAAAAATTCATGTACCATGAAACACAAGATATAGCGGGAAAAGGTGAGAATTTAGCCGCCAGCAGCGTTTGAAACAGCGCCTACGCAGGCTGCGCCTATTGAAATCATAGTCCACTCGGTTAGGGTTAGGAGGGACGCCGGTGAGAGTCTAGCCTCAAACTCAGATACTGGGCTCGAAAACGGTTTGTTGCCCTTGGAGTCGAGTGCTTTTTGGAAAGGTTTATACGTTCCAAACAACAGAAACCATATAACCTATTTTGCCGAGGTAGCACAGAAGGAGAATCCAGTGTCGTTTTATTTGTACAGCATTCGCGTCAAGACCTACAGCTAACTGCGTTTGGTCGTAGCACTCTTATTATTTTAGTGCACCCCAGCTGGAGTACACTTGTTTGTCGTTGTGTTAATTTTCTATTTTTTTGTTATTCAGAACAACGCTTACAATGATAAGGCCGCTTTGCTCGCTGAACCGGGTCGTGACAACTGCAAACATGCTGACGAGGTACATGTTGTGCGTGAGGCCACCTAAAAGAGCTGATGCGATGGCCGAGCCGAGGAAGACATCGCCACCTGGTACCCAGTACATGCAACTGAAAGAAGCGCATAAATTGAAATGTTGATTTCGCGGGCATATACACTGTGTTTCGCTCGTTTTCATAGTTGACTGACAGCTTCAGAAACGCAGGGCGTAGACAGTTCGAAGCACCCCGCTATGTCGACTATGAAACTTTGGCCGTGAGATGCTGAAAAAGCGAGTCACGAAGCAAGACGCCAGAACATTATAAGCCACGTTCCAAGTTTCCTAAGCTATCATCAGTGACAATATAACCACACGTAAATTCAATTTCCGCAATTGACGGAAAACGTAGGGAAGTCTCATTATCTCCACAAAAAGTGTTGAGTTTTACGTTGTCGATATTTTGGAGGGCTACACCGTGTCTTGAGAACTAAACGAAAGAAACAATGTCTCACGGTCAGCACCTGGTTTAAATTTGTAAATATATATATGGGTGATTCCATCTCAACTCAGGCACGGATTTAGGGTCGAATTTTTAATTTTGACGAAAAAATATATGTTTTGGGGCAATTCCTATAATAAAAGAAGACGCAAACGGCTATTTCGTCGGATTTTTGTTCTCAAGTTATGGACCGTTGAAGCGGTCAAGGTGGAAATTGATGTTTTTCCAGCCTATCGGAGGTGCCATATTTCACTCCATGCCTTTTCAACACTTTTTACTCTACATCAATGTAACTTTTTGGAAACACTCTACACATAGGCGTTTTCATGCTAATTAAGCGTCTAGGTCATAGCATTCTTTATGATTTTTTTTTTATTTGTCAAACCGCCTCTCTGTGACGATATTTGACGACGTTCAGCAAGCTGTGCTGTGTGACCTAATCAACATATGTTTATGATCTTTATATCACCGTAAAGCGCCAATTATGCTCTTTTTTTAGTATAACTTCAATATTTTGCCACAAGTATATATTGCGCTACATGTGCCTGAAAAACGAATATTTCGAAAAACTAGCAAGTTTGGAGTCGATTTTCTAAAAAAACCCACTTTTTATTTTTTTTTCATTTTTTTATTCACAGTTAGTTAATATAGTAGTCTATCAGGAACTACCAACAGAAATTGTAATATATTGTTTGTATGGCCGCTATTATGACTCGAATCTTGTGCTATGAGCCTTTTGAACGGGACTTCGCACAGGCGCTTTGCTGAGCAGAATTTTGGCCAATGTAAAGTTTTCTATTTAATGTTAGTACTTACCACAATATCTCAGCGTAAAAGCAAGTGAAGCAACAATATTTATCCTTACAATATTTATTTACTTGGCACTGGGGTGATTTGAAAGGTGTGTGAGCTTCGCCTTATGTATTGACGGAGAAGTACGTAACATCTAAACTCACGGACAAACTTAAGTCACGAGGGAAACGTCTAAGTAACCTGGCATGAATCACTGCAAAGAGAAATGAAACCTAAACACATGAATAACGCATTTGAAGCCTTACACGCCACGAAATGCTCGTCCTTACACGCCACGAAATACTCGTCCTTACTCGCCACGAAATGCTCGTCCTTACACGCCACGAAATGCTCGTTATTTTACGAAGGAGCCCGTATGTGCACAAAATAGACCGTACTTCCAAAGCGGCAGATACTAAATCGCACATATGTATATGCACTGCATATCTGTTTGACATAAGAAAATATGACAATTACACATAAAGTTCGGAATTTTAAACTCAAGATGCGACACGTAACCAGAGAAGGGAAGTAATATTTCATGTTGTAGCCTAAACATGTTCATTGCATAAAATATAACAAAATGTGTTAACCAAATGTCTCATATACTCCAAATTAACATAAAATACACTCAAAGCTAATACAAATATAAACTTTAAAACGAATTGAACACCGCCAAATTCCGTCTGGTTTACGGATAGACGACGCAGTACCTTTTCAATACTACACGGCGCTGCTCACACAAAAACAGTGATAAACACCTGGGATAGGGATAGTCATCTTTCGACGTAGCACATTTCGAGACAATAGGTTGATGCAATTCTGAGCCAGTTTTCGCTTTGTCCAAATTGCAGTCAGTTCAGTGTCAAAGTCTATGGCGCGTCGTCTGATCACACAGCGCGCACTAACTGGGGGGACAAGGATGAACGCACTGTTGAAACGGTCCGGACTTTTTTAGGGTCCCACCATTTAGCTCTGTTTATTCTGGGGTTTGGTAAACTCTTTCTAGCACCACATCACCTGCCCCTTCCCCCATTGCTTTGCTCCACACATGAAAACATTGGATGCCTTTCGATGGGGTTACCTTCTCCCACTCCTTCCTTTTAAGCTCCCGATAACGAGACAGCTCCTCTTGGTCCATGAACAGAAGCGTTATCCCCTTGATTTTCTGGCCGAGAGCTTCATCGAACGTACGCGAGTTAGTTATGGAGCTCAGCTCAGTTGTTTTCAAGTTATGCAGTGACGCATGATGCTTCAGCACACCACCCACTCCATCGCACGCGCTTTTGCCGTGCCCTGACGCCGAGTATATCCACCTGCTGACAACAAACTTCTTCTGAAATTCGTGTAATTGGTGCCGATTTTTGAAATGGCTTGGAGCGCCGTCCGAAACATAGATCAGCTCCAAAAAAACGGGCACGAGTTCCTCGAGCCTGTCTTCAATCATTGTGTGCAGAATCATGACAGGTATCGTCACTCACGACGCCGAAACTTAGTGTTCCCTTCGTGGTCGTCGCAACGCAGGTGAAGATTGTCGCCATCTTGTTTTTCCAGTGGTACCCCTGCACTGCACGTTGGAGCACAGTACTCCAGTTTTCGGCCAAATCAAAGTGGAGGACTACGACACGTGGCTTCACATTTGCTTTTTCAAGCCATATTGCTCTCTCTTGTGCGCGCCGAATATAATAGTGGGGTATGTATTTCTTCGTCCACTTGTTGAGTTCATTAAAGGGCAACTCCACTCCATTTTTACAATTTTTGGGTTATGATCTGTTTAGTCGAAGCCGGCGGCCCTGAATCACGAGATATAATTTGTTTTTCGGTAGTGTGTATAGTTTTGTAGATATCGCGAATCCAAGTATCGTTCCCGCGGCACGGCGAAACCGAAACTACCGGTTGAAGCAGCTTGGCAACACTGATACTAGTGGCGCGTCGTCGGCATGACCTAGTTCTGGTCCCGCGCTTCTCAGCCGACGCGCCGACAAGGTCGGCTCAATCGTACGTGGAGTTTCAAAACAGAAGGTTAGATGCACATTTTCTTTTTTTACCGCTTCACTTTGTTAATATGCACCAAATGTAGTAAGTTTTAGTGTGTATTTATAAATTTGCCGGCCGAAAAGCGAATCCGACTGCTATAAATATGACGCGGTCGGTGCCGGCGCAGCGTGACTGTATTTGTTTCTTGCGCGCGGACCGAGAGAAAACGAAATAACGGGAGATATATGGACAGATCTATCCACAAGTGGTCTAAGTTGCTAAGCTAAGGTGCCTTTATGTGCACGCTAGTTAGATCAGCCGCGACCTGCTGTGTCCGGCCGATCGTGCTGGAGCAGCCGGCGGACGGTACGCGAACAGCGACGGCACCGCATCGTTCTTCAAAGACGCATGTTTCGTGGAGAACCCCGCAACAGTCAGCAGCCGCAGATCCCGTGTGTAGGTGTCTGACGTAAAGTGCTGGGAGCAGAGCTTCGCGTTGGAGCTCAGAGTCAACGGTCTTCCGAAGTCTATCCGGCGAACGGCACCGACCCACACCTTGTGCCTCTTACGGTCTCTTGGGAACTGGTGGAACCGCAGCTCTGGGTTGCGCACCGGGTTTTTGGTGCAACCCAGGCCACAACAAATCATGCTCGACATTGCCCAACGCGAGTACGGCGAGTCTCTCCGGCTCCACGACGCGCGCGTGAGCGAGCGGCACCGCTTCGCTCTCTTCCGCGCTGTCGCGGAAGCAATGCTGGAGTTAAAGGAACTGCCTGGAGGCTAATAAAAATAGGGAAACACAAAATAATGTGGTAAACACCTCGTGCCGTCAGCAGAATCGCAGAATGCCACGGGAAACGAAGCGCTCGCGGCGTCCGTACGAGAGCGTAGGACTAGAACTACGTCATTGCCCAGTGTTGCTTCGCTAGCTCACCCGGTGCCAGCGTTGCTCACCCGCTTTCGGGCCGCTAACCGAGCCGGGAGAACATTTTTAATATTGGTTTTAATCGATAACGCGGCGTCGGTTTGACGTAATATTTTGGGTATGACCGTATTTTGACCTCCTAAAGCGATAACAGTCATTTCGATAGGGTCGACTTTTTGAGTGGAGTTGCCCTTTAAGAAAAGCAGTGGCCTCCAAATGTTTTTTCAGCAACTCGCCACCAGATTCCCACAGTGCCAACTCCAGTTCATCTTCAGCGCTCATCCCTAGCATCTCGAGGGATATGTCCTTCCGGTTCGAACACGCTTCACACCTCAGCAAGAAGCAGTTTTGGGAAGGATTTTCACAAGAAAAATTTTCTGGACGTCTTCAAAGGTCATGGTCTTCCCCGCCGCATTTGACAGAGATGTCAGACAGAGTATGAAGTTGGCGCAGCATACACACACACACTCTTCATGTACAGGGTGTTTCTTAACCCACTTGGGCCGAAGAGAATAAAATTTTGTTAGGCCCATTTTTGGCTCGGGATTGGCCGCCTTGAATTCTTTGTAGGTTTCCCTAATAGATCTCGTCATAAATCGCTTCGTGACGAAGACTTCCTGACCATCAATAAAAAGCCTTACGACATCCTTCTTGTTCGGGCTTTGTCTTGAGCAGTCTTTCGCATCTGATGTGTAGTAAGTCAACGCAAGAGCGACGTCGTTTTCGTTGAGAGCATGTCCTTGGTATGGGTCAGGTGACGCCCAGACCCCCATTTTTTTCAGCTTTCTTGATTGGTCCAAAGCATGCTTCGTTCTTCAGGAATTCCTTTCAGGATATCTTTCTTTTTGAGGTTAGATGGTAAGAGAGTTAAGAGGCGGTAGCGTTCTAGCTGCGACGCGCTCTTGACGTAGGCTGCTCGTAAATTGCTGACCCAGTCGGAGCATGAGGAGCATGGATCTTCTTTGTCTGTGCCCGTAGGTTCTCGGTACACGTCACTTAGTTTATGACCAATTTTCTTTTTGAAGTCCGCGGTTATCTCGGATTTTTTTCGCTTAACATAGCCGGTACGACTTCGTGGGGTCACGCTAGAAGGGAGTTTAAGTGGTGTCACACTTACTTCGGCAGCATCAATTGCTTCAGGCACTCCTTGGACCAGGGCTTCCTCGTCAACGAATGATCTGTCCGCTGGTTTCAGGGATGATGACGATGAGCTTGATGGCAACATTTCCTGCCCTTGCTTATGTTCTTCAATCTGACCCCAGAACATTGTGTAGCAGTTATTGCACAGAACGTCTCCAGGGCTTACGCGCTGGGCGTCCTCAGCCGATAGAGCTTGCTTAAGAAAACAGGTTTAGCTCCGAGACTTGACGAAAATGGCGTCCGTAAAACACTCTTCTCTTGTGTCTCCTTGAATAGTCGGCGCACACTTTCCGGTCTGAACTGAATGATGTATTAGCCATGGCAGTAACGAAGACTTCTGGCTTTCTGAAAGCAGGAGCAGTTTTAAGTTCATCCAGCTCGGACAGCACGGAGGTAGAATGAGTACCAGCTTTCCGCCGTGGCTTAGAAATTCAAGTAAAGAGCCAGAAAGGGACCGAGAAGGCTATTATCAGTTAGACGACGTGCGAAGATTCGGCTTCCTTTGGGTCCCCAATCTTCCCGTCCATCCATACTTAAAGGGGCACTGACACCCCAAAGGTCGTATTTATTTTTATTGTCTAAAACGATGCAAGTTGTAGTCATAGACACGCAAAAAAAACCGCATTGCGAAAAAAAATTTTCCCGCGCGCGCGCGCGCCTTTTTATTTTTGGTGTTTGATTTTCCCGCCTCTCGCCTCCTCGCTTCTTTTGATCGGTGACGTCAAAAATCAGGAAATTTAGAAGCTTTGTAGGCGACATCTCTATAACATTTAATTACGGCAATCCTAAAACATGTTTTTTAACGCAATTGCGAACGCACTACGGCCCTTCTTTTTGAAATACCAAAAATCGGCAGTTCGTTGTGGTGCCGTCTCCTGGATTTGTATCCTCCAACGGAAAACAGGCGACACCGCTCAAAACCGGTCCGCCGCAACGCCGGCAATCGCTCCTTTCCTCCTCGCTTTGGGTCGCCATGGCAACAGCAGGGAGTGGTGAAAGGAAGGGGACTCTCAGGTCTCCTCAATTTTTGACGTCAAGGCACCGGCGCCGATCGCGCGGGAACTTCGAATTCGGCATTTGGAAATTGTTTTTTTACTTCACGAATACTGAATTCCCAAATCTCAAATTTTGAGGGTAATGTCCCGGCATTGTTTTCAATCGTTTCGGATAATAAAAAAAAATATGATTTTGATGTGTCAGTGCCCCTTTAAACATTCGCTCTCCGCCTCGCGCGTAATCTGAGTGCCACGCAGCAGCGGCGTCTCTTTTAGTGCCCGCGGATTAGTGGCACGGTCATGTTAGAAGGACGAGGAGGGGAGCTTGGAGAGACAGAGGGGGGCTTGCGACGTAAACTCTGACCTCGAAACGCCTGTTCTCCCGACAATCAGGGTTTCCGTGTCGGTCGCATCCAAAGGCATAATCCTTAGAGGCTCCAGGACCCCGACGAAGATAGAGGCGGTAGCCCCGTGATGTTCAAGATAAAGTATTCTATACACGCCGCCTGACTGGGGTGGCATCTGTAAAATTTTGGAGCCGAAAGCAAAAGGCCTCAGAGGACTTCTCTAACGATCTGCATTCCCCCCTATTGGGAAAAAAAGATGCGCTCGCACTTGTGAATACGGACTTCTAAGTAACTTTTTTTAAGAGCACTACTCAAAATTTTTTTTAATGTTTATGGTTGGATATTAGGTAACTGCTAACGATAAATAGAAAACCTTATATACGCCAAAATTCTGCTCAGCAGAGCGCCTGTGCGAAGTCCCGTTCAAAACGCTGATAGCACGAGATTCGAGTCTTAATAGCGGCCATACAAACAATATATTACAATTTCTGTCGGTAGTTCCTGATAGACTACTATATTAACTAACTGTGAATAAAAATGAAAAAATAAAAAGTGGCGTTTTTTAGAAAATCGACTCCAAACTGGCTAGTTTTTTTAAATATTCGTTTTTCAGGCACATGTAGCGCATTATATACTTGGGGGAAAATATTGAAATTATACTCAAAAGAAAGAGCATAATTGGGGCTTTACGGTGATATAAAGATCATTAAAATATGTTGATTAGGTGACACAGCACAGCTTGCTGAACTTCGTCAAATATTGTCACAGAGAGGTGGTTTGACAAATAAAAACAAAAATCATTAAGAATGTTATGACCTAGACGCTTAATTAGCATGAAAAAGCCTATGTCTAGAGTGTTCCCAAAAAGTTATATTGATGTAGCGTAAAAACTAGGGAAAAGGGATGGGGTGAAATATGGCACCTCCGATAGGCTGGAAAAACATCAATTTCCACCTTGACCGCTTCAACGGTCCATAACTTGAGAACGAAAAATCCGACGAAATAACCGTTTGCGTCTTCTTTTATTATAGGAATTGCCCCAAAACATATATTGTTTTCGTCAAAATTAAAAATTTGACCCTAAACCCGTGCCTGAGTTGAGATGAAATCACCCATATATATATATATATATATATATATATATATATATATATATATATATATATATATATATATATATATATATATATATATATATATATAGGGTGTTTTCTAAGCTTAATAGATTTGTTTAAAAAAAGCCGTGAACGTTACACTTATGCCGCTTATGGAGGTGAGTTATACGGCCAGGAGGACATATTATAGGGGACTAATCGTAACAATCAGTCGACTAGTTAACTAAAATTTGTTAATTAACTTTTTAATTAATGACAATAGACATACGATTCCAACAAGAAACTTGCTCAGCGTCATCGGAAACCACAAAATCTGTCATTTTCAGAACGTCTTTGAGCTCGTGAGAAGCGTAGTAGTGCACTAAATTAACCACTTGTGGAGCAGGTACAAAGCTAGCGGTTGCGATAAGGCGCCCCGCGCGACTTTTCCGTCTCTTATCTAGCCCCAGCCTTGTACCTGCTTCACGAGTGGTAACTGTAGTGCACTACTACGCTTCTCACGCGCCGAAAGTCTTCCTGAAAATGACTGATGTAGTGGTTTTCGATGACACTGAGCAAGTTTCTAATTAAAACCATCTGTCTATTTTCATTAATTAAAAAGCTAATTACCAAATTTTAATTAGTTAACGACTGATCGTTATGATTAGCCTCCTATAATATGCCCCCTGTCCGTATAAGTCACCTCCACAAGCGGCATAAGTTTAACTTTCATGGCTTTTTTTAAACAAACCTGTTAAGCTTAAAAAAACACCCTGTATGTATATATATATATATATATATATATATATATATATATATAGTATATATATATATATAACGACCTACACTCTCAAACATTCTTTTCGCTTTTTTTTTTATGCGAACGCGCACCGTGATCTACACGAAACACGAACAATTGCAGTTTTATCTTCAGTTTTCCTCTAATCAATTGTCGTGCTGTCTAATGCGCTTTTGTTCTCAAATAAAAGTCATGGTCGCTAGGCTTTTAAAAAATATTATCGTTGAAGCTGTGCGCTCGGAGCGAAAATTCCTGCAATTTACGTAGAGGATAGGCGAATGACCAGTTCGGCAATAGATTTAAATAACAAAATTGAATCTGCGATGGAACAATGTGTATGAGAATTTACATGTTCGTTGTCACAATCGGTGCTACCATCGCAGACCTTAAATACTTTATTTTGGAAATCGTCCTTAGGAGGTCTCCCTCATTAGATTTCAGTGATTACATGATTTCAAAGTTGTCTGCGGAAGTGTTGAAGAAGGCATATAAAATTTGATCTCTAGGTTTACTGACCCAAATATTATTGTGAAGGTGAAGAATCCTGCTTGACCAATGAGGTAACAGACAGTTGGTGGCTTGGTTTTCATCTGAAAATAAGGGTCTGCCATTTAATATTAAAATTTTTCAGACAATATAACCGCCCGCTATATTAAAACCACAACGGCAGCAGGGTCAGCCGATGAATACTTAACTTCTAGCGCCTATGCTAAAAAAATTGCCGTGTGAGGTAATCGTACACTCCATGGAACACTGGGAAGCCATTGCTCCACGAGATATAGAATGATGAATATTTCTAAAACAGTCCAAGAAGTCTCTGCATGGATACTGCAGCGCGACGCTCTTTAAGCACCTGTATTCGGCATTTGCTCAGACGTTTTGACTAATCAGAATTGCGATCGGTCTCGCGCTCTAATGTGCGTGCAGACTTAGCGGCAAAAAGGGTGCCCACGCGCTTTGCTACTGAGCACAACGCAGCCGATGGTTTGAACTTACAGCACGCCGCGCTGAGATGGGGGATGGGCAACGCCAGCTAGAGCTAAGACAAGGCCCACCAAATACTCGTTGTTCTTCAGGGAAACGTGAACACCCTAGTATGGCCCAACTCAGCAATTGGGCCCGAGACCGACGCCCACGGCATCCTTCGACGCATGAATTGGACAAAAAGTCCAGCCAAACACTGAAGGCTCGTTCACATTTTTACGTCGAGAGCGTTGGGCTGTGTTGCCTCGTGCAGCATAGCGCCTCCCCATTGACTCGCCACAAGGGTCGCCATGGCAACAGCTCGATGCAAGTAGTCTTAATGCACTCAATCGCAGTCAAACGCAACTGTGTGAACGAACCTTGACTCAGCCCTCATTTCCAATCTCAGTCTGCGAACAACTTTACTGTGATAATGTCAAAATGCTATACTGCACGGGTTTTATTATTTCATGTGGTGTGGGAAGGGAGGGGGGGTATACTGCACGCTAATACTTCCCTCTCCCCCCCCCCCCCTTCTCTTACATGCTGGAACGCGGGATGCGTACTAGGGTTGGGACTGCGCGTTAGTGCTTTCGAACCTTCGTTGGATTTGACGGAATGTCAAAGACAGACGATTCTTCTTCGCTATATAGAGCTTAACAGGTGCTCTTTGCGAGGATGTTGTCCCGGCCGAATTGATTTACCGCCAGATGTTACATCAGGAGACTAATGTCATCCGTTTGATTTCTCGCAGGCTGTTTGATTGTGAGGGACGAAAGCGCCTCCGGCGCTTACAGTTCGTCAAGTGTGCACACTTATTTTATATTTTTTGCTGGTTGAAAAGGTTTGACATTTCAGGAATTATGACTCCAGTATCATATATGGGTTCTAATTTTTTCGTGTTTAGTGGTTTCAGAACCATCGATGTGTAAGTCAACATTATCCGTTCTCAGTAAATGTGCAATGCGTGCTTCAATGTTTTTTTGTTTTTTTTTGTAGAAATGGCTGCAGTTTGATCCAGCTTGAGGAATGTGTGGGAACATAAAGCAAAAATAGAAGTGCACTTACAAGTTTCTCCGCAACAAAGGAACCAATCAGCATGGCCATTTTGAAGGCAGAAAAAACAAAGCCGTATTTCCAAGCATCAATGCCTCTTGAAATAGCCTTTAATAATAAAAATATGAATAAAAACTTAGAAACTCATAACGGTATAAGCTGTTTCTTGTATTAAACATATAGTATTGAACATATATCCGCCGTATATTTTATTTGGATTTACCAGGGTATTTTTTCTCTTCACACCTGTGCACGGAGGTGAGATAAAACGCAAAACAAAGATATGGAACTGTATCTGACAGGAAGAATAATAGTAATAATACTTTATATTCCAGTAGTGTCCAAAAACAACCATTAAGGCCTTTTAAATGCAAAGGCGCAAGCGAGCTGGACAAGAATGATGAGAATAATACCTGGAGAAGGGGAACAAAGGGACAAAGTACAAACACAAATCTCCAAGATTTGTGTTTGTACTTTGTCCCTTTGTTCCCCTTCTCCAGGTATTATTCTCATCATTAAGGCCTCTTTATTGATACACTCTGAACAAAATTGAGCTACACGTTAAAACACAGTCAAGTGAACAAAAAAAAAAATACATTAACATCAGAAGTCTGTACAATGAGTATACGGCATGCCAGACTTGTGCCCGTTTCTTGAAAAATGTACGGCATGGGCATGCTAAACGCGAAACAAAGCCCCTCACAAAAAAATGAGACCTTTACAAATCTCTGCAACGCGAAACTAGATAGCAGCTCTTGAGGAGGAGGAGGGGAAGGTACTGATGGGAGGCTATACCCTTTCTTCTCCTCCGTACCCTCCCCTCCTCCTTCCTTCCTCCGCCTCCCCTCCTCCACTCCTCCTCCACCTCCCGTCCTCCTTTTCTCCTCCTCTTACTCTTATTCCCTTCTTCCCTCGTCCTCCTCCCCTCCTACTCCAGCTTTCCTCCACCTCTCCTCCACCCCCTGAATTTGTTCGTGGGTGGCGTGACGCGAAGTTATGTGACGTCACCCATGAAAAAATTCAGTTTCTCCGCTACATTTAGCGGAAAAATTGACGTAACGTGACCTCAACACCAATTCAATTTCCTGCTTAATACAGCGGGACGGCTACGCCGACGGGCACGCCGCGAAACGCAAAAACAGCCCCCCCCCCCCCAAAAAAAAAAAAACAAAAAAACATGGATATATATATATATATATATATATATATATATATATATATATATATATATATATATATATATATATATATATAGATATGAAAGAATAAGCCAAAACGTATATACAAAATAAGGCTTGTACATGCAGAATGCATTTTTGCTCGTCAGCGAATAATGCCAGAGCTTTCAAGAAGGACGCACGAACCACCCTGAAGCTATAGTTTGAATGATAGTTGATTTACTACCTAGTAGATTTCGAACGAAAATAAAATAAACATAAGCTTAGGAGCACCAGGCATAACGTTGAAATATGTTTTGTGGGTTGCATAATCAGCTTTCAGAAATAATTGATATTAGAGGGTGATACAGTCGAAGTACGCGCGGTAAAGAACATCACTCGGCGGCTTCATGTAACATTCTCAAATTTTCAGAAAAAGATGTAGTTTCCTGGCGGATTAGGGGTCGCAAAACTTTCTGGCGTAGCACCCTCCTATAGACCATTTCAGGAACATCATTGACATTTTCAACGGCTGGCACAAACGCCGATCACCAAGTAGCTCGAGTACTTGAATAGCGTACGAGTGCTATACGTGGCACCATATGACGATGGGCGCAGAGAGCACGATCCGTCGAAAGTCATGGGCTTGTTGGGCACAATGCACGACTCTCAGTCAGCTTGGTCGTCTCCATCACCTCATGTCGTTAGAAATGTAAATATAGTTTCACGTCTTGCGCTGGAAGGAAGCTACGACTTGTAGATTCACATGGTAAAATTCCACCATTCAAATACAACTTTGGTGCAAATATGACTCGTTACTCGTGGGCACTAACTTCTTTTTGGCTCATTTTATACTGAGTCTTTTGATTTACAACAATCTATATTTATAAATATTGTTCAAAAATAAATACATTAGGTGCCGTATTAGTTTTACGTTAATGGAAGAATATTGTTCGGTAAACGCGTTCTTGATATTCACAACCTTAATTGTCTGCGGATAATTAACTTCTTGATAAAAAAAAGAAACACATATTTTCGTTTAGAAAATTACAAACAGAGCACCTTCAAAACACGAGGAAGTTCAGAACAGACGGGAATCGAGCGCATGGGGACCGTGTTGGTGCCCAACATTTTTAACATCTGGTAAGGAGCGAGGCCAGCGTGAAAAAAAAAAAAAATAAGATGCGGATTGCGCAAAGAAAGAAAAAGAGGAAGAACAGCATGAGCGTTGCAAAATATGATGCACTCTATGAACCCATTAAAAGGAAGCACACGCTTCCAATCATTCCCAATTTTCCTAACATCGTGTTGCCTTTAATGCCCTGCAAGGTTGTAGTAAAAATTATGTTTCACTTTATTAATTAAAAGATACACAAAAAAAGTTTTGCATTTCGAAGGGTTACACGGTGTTCTATTGCATTGCGTGAGATGTCGTTTCGTCCTAAACGCAGACTGAACAAATATTGTAAAACTCCATGTAATGTTTCGACAGAAAGACTCGTCTGCTTTGTAATTTCCGACATGCTAAAATGTGTTCCCACACTTTCCCTCTCTTTCTTTCTTAAAAAAAAGAGCTACCGGACCCCATGGTTACCTACAACACCATGTCTAATATAGCAGTATGTATTATATAGCTATGGCTCCGTGGCAAAGCACCGGACTACGGATCCCCAGGGGTTGGGTTCGAATCCTGGCCAGGGGCACGCAACTGCCGAAGGTTTATTGCGGAAAAGGCGCCTTGTAAGAAATATTTCGGTGGCGCCAAAAGAACCCCAGAGGTCCAAAGTTCATCATCAGCCCTTCATTGGGGTTTGGTTGCTTTGACACATAATACCTAAACGTTTGACTTGCTGACACTATAACATAGTACATGAAAAGCTAGAAGCGTCGTATTAAACTTCCTGAGTATAACTTGTGACCGTACAAGTAGTTTTAATACTAACTTTACCGCCGCATTGTTTTACCTGAAGTCGCAACACTACGTCACTCTGCTACGCCTTCGGGGGCGTTGATCTTCAGGTGTTTTGCGCTCTTGGCCGCCTTTGCCTCGCATCCGCGCTCCCGCAGATACCGAAACCCAACAAGTCATATCTCGAAGGATAATTATATTTCTAGAAATACACGCAACGCAAAGCCTTTATAAACAACTGGCTGCAATTTTTCAATTGATTATATGCTAGCTACAAAAAAACAATACTTAAACATTTGTTCAAAAACTAATTAAATTATTAATATTTAATGAACAGTAAAATATTATACTAACTGCTTTTAATACTCGTGCTCGAATGAGCGCCACGGCCGATAAGTTTATTCTACAAAAGTAATAACTATTTGCAATCTCATTCTTGCATTGAACATTTTCCGTCTTGGACAAAACAACCTGTATATACATATACGGGCGTTGATGTTATAAAACCAAGTTTTCTATTTTTTTAACGCAACTTTTGGAGTTACTGATACTTTGATTTTGCGCCTTAGTTATGCTTTTAGGTGGGCACCGAACGCAAGGGTAATAGTACTTGTGAATTTTCAAATCAACTAAAATTTTAAATAATTTTTTTTTTGCTTTCATCGGGATTTGTGTTTGAATTGAAGACGGGCGTATTTCAAAGCTGTTTTATTTTCTAGAATTCTCGCGAATAGTCCGTGTTTGAAGATATCTGTCTTCAAATTTAAACCCCTGTTCACTACGAAATCAAAACTTGCGAAAATCGGCGCAATATCGCTTCCCCGTGTGAGGGTCAATGCCTATATTTGCGTCTCAGTCCGATGGGTTCAGTTACAACAGGCGGAAGCTGGGCGTTGAGAAGAGCGTTTGCGTCAAGTACGTACACACAGTGGCGTTGACACGGAGTCGAGCGCAATGACGTGCCAATAAGAAAGCACTGTCGTCACTTGCGCCTCCCAAATGGTGAGCGAAACCCAGGACAACATGGCGGAGCCTGCGTCAATGGCGAGGTTCGTCTAGGTGGCCAATCTTGAGAGAATCGCGCTGGATTCCGAGACTTCTGTTCAGCTTTAACCATTGTAGCCTGGAAAAACCTGATGTTCTCGCCTACCCACCGCTCCGCAACAAGCGAAGACTATACTCCGTTTCATGATGTCTTGGCGAAATTTTGAGAATGCGGCCCCCGCACCCAATAAGGGCGTCGGAGGAAGGCACGGAACAACACTCAATGATTGAGGCCACGAGGCCACGAAGGCCTTGTTTCCACCTCAGCAACAAAAAAAATACTTCTAGGCTTTTTTTTTAACGACAATTGAATTTGCGCCATTCTATCGTTATCGAGAATATATAAACAATTAGAAAAAAATAGTGACGAATTTACGAGTTGCAGACATTGAAATAAAAAAGTGACGCCACATTCATGTCCGCTCCCGACTTTTTTCTCTTGTAGTGTCGTGGCCATAGGCGTTTGCGACCGTGTAATCGACCGCTTCTGTTCAAAACATCGGCCCGGCAATAGCACCGACCACAGATTTGATTATAATTTACAAAAAATGGTTGTCTTGTAAACTGCTCCCGAAGAGCTGGCTACTCTAGCAAACGGCAATATTGTGGCGGTGGACATTCATCTGAAGTCGGTTGGTTTCGCAGCAGGCGACTCTTGGTGAGCATACGACAGCTGGTTCCTCCGGGCCTCGTTTTTGGCGCGGGGACACACACAATCCCATGATGTAGTGTAACGTGCCTTACTCGACGCTTTTATTAGGTCGCGGGGCCGCAGTCGCTAGAGTTCACGAAAATATCGTAAAACGTGCGTTCTTGACGTGTACCCGTGTTGCGGAGTTGCCACTCCGGAATAGGAATGATTCCGGAATCATTCCCCATTTTCGTTACCCCGGAATGAAATGGCAGTGAAAGGCGGGCAGCGCTGAGAAGAATGGAATTGGAATGAAATTAGATAATTTTTTCTCGGAATGGAGTCGGAATGAAATGGGCTCAGTTCT